CCGCATCGACAAATCAGCGGCAACATGCAAGGGGACAACATTTGTGACCCGGACGACAGTGGTTTATAATCCATCGCACGCCTTAGAGCCTGACAGAGTGCGGCTGGAGGTGAGGGCGGGGGCCGGAGCGCCGCCGTCGGTCACCTGTGCTTCTTCTTGACGTCGGCCCAGACGCTGATGTGGTCGGCGGCCAGGTGGCGGCGGTACCGCATCAGCGGCCCGGCGCAGGCGTCCATCCAGCCCTCGTCGGCCACGTGCGCGTACACCAGGCCCTCCGCGCGCACGAACTGCAGACCGGCCGCCAGGGCCACGGCCAGTGCCTGCCGATTGCCGGCCGCCAGCACCTGGAGAGGGGCAGGTCACGTCGGGCCGGCGGACCGCATCACGCTACAATAATTATGGGCATGCGGTCCAGCACACTAACGTCTTGTGAGACGCGGACAGCAGCAATAGCTTAAGAGGCAAGACAATTTCCAACGCCAGCATAAATGTTCAAATGTCATAAATGTATAAATGCTGCCCACACAAACGCTTACATGCCAGTAGACAAACGTACTAGGATTGATGTGTGCATAACTACATCCCACACTTTTCCAGGTCCACGGCAGGGCGTCCCGTCACCCAATGTCACGCGACTCACCTGAACGCCAACGGGCTTGGCGGCAGGCACCCTGCGACGCACCTCGGCCGCCACGCGCGTCATGCACGCAGTGATCTCCGGTCCCAGCTGAGCTCCGCACATGTACGGCAGGTCGTGCATGTTCTCCACCAGCAGACCGTCCTGCGGAAGACGTCAGGTCATCGCTCAGCAGGATGACTCAAGCTTCAGCCATTTAGTCAAGAAACAGTGAAACACATGACACAAACCACATCACAATGAATCAGTTTCGAGTGTAATCAAAGGAACTACACAATTAAATGATTGCAAACAGCTTTTCAGGCACTTCAAAATTTTCTACAGAAAGCAACTTTTGGTCAGATTTATCCAGCACTGCTCATTCAATTAATGCCTTTATTCATTTATTTCATATGAATACTCTGCATGGCACAGCTTCTCAGATCATGCACACAACTTGCATGGTATACATACAGCACACAAGCCAAGATAAGAACAGACATAAAACTTCGTTTCTCACTCCTAAGCTTCAGGACTTCACAAATCCACTAGCGCCCTCTCTCCCTGCACCCAAAACCATTGCGTGGTTCTCTGGCTGCCACGGGAGCTTCATTCCATTTGACAGTAGCACGATAGCAAAAAGCATGTCTGTTGCTTTATGCTCAGTTTGGATGTGGATGCAGCTCGGGGGGTCCCGCCAATGACGTACAACTTTCCCGCCGGCATACCCTTGATGTATGTGAATTGTTCACGGAGGGGACTGCACCACGCGTTGCGTGATGCAGCATGGTGACACGTTTTTCGACGACAATCTGACATAAGGCAGGTCATTATAAGTGGATTGAGATGGTTTGGTGCTTTTTGAATTCACTCACATTGCGTTTCTTTTAGCCCACAGTCATGCTCAATAATAAAAATTAGGGGGTAAACCCACGTTTTCTACTTAAAACTTTTTTCCTTCCTCAATTAGCCATCGCAAGAGCTTGGCCAGCCCCCCCCCCCCCCCCCCTAATGCTGCGAAGCACGGAAATACTGTGAATACGTGGCGTTCAAATGCCAGATTGCTATCTATACCCACACAGAGAATTTCGACCACGGCTGATCAGCAAAGCATTGCATCATTAAAGCAAATGTAAAAATGAATGCTAAGTCATCTTCTGCTAAAGGCACCATGACTTTCTTGTCATTTATTAACTTTTTCTTGGGTCTGCAGGGTTGCGGGGATCACCTCCGTGGCTATTCCCTGGGCCCCAGATGCGACACCACTTAGTGTTTGGTGAGATGTCAGAAGCTGGACCACTGGGCCACTCTGTGACCCATAGATACAGTTCCAGTGCCCCTGGGATGGCTGGACGTCAATCCGTACACCGGCTCTGGAACCAATAGATGCTGATCCCATATCATCCGAGTTTGTCAAGGAGCTGAAGATGCTGGACAAGCAGATGATTACCACCTAATCCATGTTGCTGACTGAATAGATGACAGCATCTAGCATTGTAGACTCCATAGATTGACTTGGTTTGCAACTATGTTGCACACTACATAGGATGTTATGTGACACCAGTTAACTTAGCAGCCAGGTGCAAATAATGCTTGCAGCAGGCTTAACTGTCATTAGAATCATGGACCTTGGTCAATGGTTAGTGGGGCCATCACAACATCTCAACTTACAGATTGCCAAAACAGCTGCTGAGTTCTACTCTCATACCAGATGTAAAAGAGATGTTGATCATATTCAAAGTTGGGGTCCATCTTCAATGGAACATGCACCCCTGATTCTAAGGGATGTATATTCCTGGCTATTCTTTTCAATCACATTCTGACCATGCACTTATCTACTCACCACATCACATTTAGTATATGTGTCTGCTTCACTGCAGGCTGTCTCCACAACTTTGTCCATGTGCAGACTATGAAGAGGTGTTCCTGTAAACAAATTGATCACATACCTGAATGGGAAAAGACCAGCTGCGTCCTGGTCCACACACCCATGGTGGGATAAGTTCCAGTCACTTTTAATGCTCACTGTTTGCCCTTGACAGGTACGGCCCCCATCCTGGCAGCAGCCGCAATAAAGATAGGGTGATGTCTGAGGACAGAACGGACCATGTCGAGCATTGCATCACGTTCAATGTTCAAAACCAAATTCTGCCATTGACTAGAATTTCATAATTGATGCTATGGGTCACAGGACACATACATGCTACAGTGTGAGCTCCAACCCCAGAAATCCAACCATTCAAAAAGTTAGAGCTGAATCTTAAAAAGTTAACCTACATATCCAACAAGTTCAAGCATTCTGGCACTGCTGTGAAAAACTTCAATGAACCAACAAAGAGTGTAAGGTGTGATCTGATCTTGGCAGAAATTTCAAGCATGGCAATCAGAACAAAGCATCTTAAACCAGAATGTTCAAATATGTGCCATATTGCCTGGTCAACCATGACACATCCTTCTGAGGGGCCATTCTGATCTTTTCACGACATAAGCACAATGCAAAAACAAAGCAAAAAGACACATAGGCAAACATGGCCTTAAGCCCCTGTTCTCAGCAATGCAGATTGGGGATGCTCATTCTGACAACAGTTGAACTTCAGTATACTGATAGATACTGGTTGAGCAATGTCAAGGGATTGTTACCTGTGTTGCCAGAGCCTAACAACTCAGGCCATGCTCATGCTGCTCAGTGACCATGAGCACAGCTTCAAGTGTTGATTCTTGTCAACACAGCCAATGCTTCCTTATCATGTTGTTTTAATCAGTATCTTGTAGCATACTGAAGGTTCATTATTTCCAGAATAAGAACTCCTTACTCATACTGTCAGGCACTGAGCAAGCTTAACACCATATCAACAGGGTAGAACTCTGCAAAAACCTCATCCATGTGAAAGCTGCATGCATCTAACTGATTAAATTTGAAACAACTACAGTAAAACAGGGCAAAACTTGAAATAATTATAAGCCATTCCTTAAACCTTCTCACTCAACCAACTTGAACCGAACTGTAATTAAGAATAAAAGGACAGTCCAGATCACTTTGGAGGAATGACCTGATCTGATACTTAGAAAGCGAGATGAAAACTGCAGACCCAACTGACTAGGTGGCACACAATCTTGGGATGCATGTGTCACTAGTTTCCAACTCTACAAGTTTCCTCCTATCAAGAACAAAGCATCCGACCAGTCAGCCAGTCACAATCACACCATTTACAACCAAAAAATTAGCAGCTCCCTGGTGTAACAGATAATGAGCAGCACACTCACCAGGCAGGGCTCTCACATGGATCATTCCAATAACCACTGCTCCTTTCGAACCAAATAGCTTCCTAAATTTCAGCATTGTAGGCCTTGCCAAGAACTGCGACCCAGCCTCCAATCTCGCCGCATAAAAGCGTCCACGCCGTCTTCAGACAACTTTGGCCTACTTAACGCGATGTACGATGAGCCCTTTTCAGTCTTCTTCCCCCAAGATGTATAACATCCACCGACCGCATCTAAACGCATGAACACCGAAATTCCTTTGAATTTTGTTTACCAACACGTAACCACACGCCAATGCACCACACGCTCTCCCGTATCCTTATGTAGGCGTATCCTTAGGCAGGCGTGTTTGTAAACAAGGAAAAACGCTCCGCACACGTGCTGCTAAATAAACGCCTCTTTTGCGTCAGTTTCACTGACGTGACCAATTTTCCCACCGTTGGCCAATTATTTACCGGACGGTAAGTATTTTATTTGAATATGGCTAAAAATAGGTTCCAATGGTGTTTTTTAGCAAACCAATCTTCCTTGGATTCTAAATGTCTATACGTATTTTATGTTTTTTACTCTTTGATGTCACTTCATGACCAGTTCACGCACGACTACGAACTCCCTTTACCACAAAAAACCTTACTGGACCAAAGCGTTACCATGACAACAAACAGCTGTTGCTATAGCCAGTTTCTTTGATACGGTTCCTCATCGCGGGTGGCGTTGAGTCGCTTTGATCGTGTGGATCATTCCCACGGCCCAGATCATGCCGAGTACGCAGCGCTGAGATTCGAGTGCGGTTCTTGCCCGTTCGAGCTGGCCCACATTCACGCTGAACTCTTCCCGGCAAGCATCGGGAAGCGTAAAAAGGTTCGTGTGTTACCAGACAAGATGTAATTTCGTGTCTAAACCAGTGGTTCAGCAACTTCGTGAACCGTGCAAGAGGATCTTACCGTAGCAGGCGGTTGTGTTTGGAACAACTGTGCTGTAAAACGTGAGCTTTAAATCCAAAGTGGAGCGTGTCGGGGCAAACGCTCATTTTGGTAGTTACGTACCTATTTACTGTTTCGAACTAGCGATCCCATTGTCAGTCACAGACACCGTTTCTACTTCCAGTGATGGCAGGTCACCAAAAATAGCGGAGCTGTTCTTTGGTGCGATGGTACCGACGACTCACCTACATATATCAGCATCTGCGTTACCAGCGTAGCAAGACAGACATGACGATCTGCATCATATGCTCCTGAACGTCCGTTGCAGGTATGTTGGGTCATGCCTTTGCTGCTAACAGTGCACTGCAGGATTGCGCAGGATTGCGCGTGATCCATCCGTTCTCAGGCCATTTTTCTTGCATTGCACTTCTGAGATAAAATTATGAGCATTCGCCAGCTGCAGCTGAAAAATGCTCAGATCGTATCGGAAGGGAAGGGCCGCTGATGGCTCTTCCTTCCGTCATTCGCCGATTTCATGGCCATCCTCTTCGTTTTGTGACGACCACTAGTGTATTGACAAACGGCTTCCGTTGTAGTTGAGTCCAGCATCAGGATGGCGTCCGGAGAGGAAACGACTTCACGCATCATCCAGCGGCCCCAGATGCGGCCCGGGCCCGAGGATGACGCCCACAACCCCTTCGTACTGCCGTCCAACTCGGACGTGTTCACATTCCGGCAACAGGACGTGCAGAACCAGAAGGAGAAGAAGAACACTCAGCTGGCAATGCCAATCTACAAGCGTCAGTACCATCAGCCACGGATCACCGCTCGACTGCCGCCCACCCCGGAGCCGGAGGACCCGCAGGTGGCGCAAGATGACACCTTTTTCAGGAAGAACTTGGCGTACACGCGCGTGGCCATGCAGAACAAGGGCGTGGAGCGGCAGACGCTGGCCGAGTTTGTGCAGAACAAGAAAGACATGTTCTTTCTCCAGTACACTATCAACGTGAAGCGCGAACAGATGGCGAAGCTCGAGACAACGGTGAAAGAGGAGCAGGAGCGACTCGATCGCGACAAAAAGAAGATCGAGAAAGACTATCAGGTGTTTGACGAATTCCTCAAAGAGAATGACCAGATGGCTGTGGAAGCGATTCGTCTGGCCGAGGATGAAGCCAAGATCACGATGGACAAAGTGTCACAAATTCGCCAAGTCAACATCCAAATCATGGCCACCAAGAGCTTCATCATCAAGCTGGAGGAGCGATACAAAGAGCTGCGCATGTACCGCCGTTTCCTGTTCCAGCTGGCGCCACAGGAGTGGCGACAGGAGCGTGAGGAGCAGGCGAGGCGCCAGTCTATGTGCCGCCAGCTGTCCGAGCAGCTGGAGGTGGCCGACACGGCCTCGCAATCAGGCAGCGTGGTGACCCTCGGGGGGCGCCTGGCCGGCCATCGGCGCGGCAGCCGCCTGCCGCCGGCAGCCAGCCGCAGCAGCGGCCCCCGCCTGCAGCGGCGCCGGCCGTCGCTCCAGGCCACGCCGGGCCGTCGGCTCTCGGCCACGCCCACCAGCGTGCAGCAGGCGTCGTCGCCGACGCTGGTGACCGTTGCCAGCACGGCCACCACGCGGCGCGCCAGCCTGGCCGCCTCGTCGGCCGTCGCGATGCAGCTCGACGAGTCGAGTGTGGACGCCGAGCTGTACTTCACCGAGCCTCAGCAGCTGTTCGCTGTCTTCCTTGAACTGGAGGAGCAGAACCTCAAGCTGATACAGAACTCGCAGGTGAGTGGGCCGCCGAGGACGCTCGCGTGGTCCGGCTGTCTGCTCGGCGCCAGCTGCTTGATTGGCCGCTTGTGGCAGCGGAAACTGGCTGGCCCAAGCAGGCTATAACAAGCTTCCATCTCGCCGCCAGATGCATTTCGCATTTAGTGCCCTTGGGCGAGACCATATCGGGTGCACTTACGTAAAAACATCATACGCACACAGGTACAGCCACAGTACCGGATGTCCAGCAGCCCGGCCGTCAGAGGTGTTCGGATCATTGAGCCAAGCTGTGTGTGTGTTGTGACGCGGCCGGCCGTGCCGTCTGCGCAGGAAACGGAGGAGGCGCTGGAGGAAATGAAGACGTCCGGTGAGCTCACCAAGGAGCGCATCAGCCGAGAGGTGGCCCTGCTGGAGCAGCAGGTCGGTCTGCTGCAAGAGGCCGTCAGGTCAGGTCAGGTCAGGTCAGGTCATCTTGGGAGACCACCGGGCGACCGATGTCACCTGCTGTCAGCCGGAAGCTGGCCGTCCCGGTGACGGATGTCTGGACAGCAGAGCCAGCCAGCCAGCCAGTCTCGCCACGAGGTACGACACCGTCGCCGTCGTCATCGTGACGCTGCGTGGGGGCTGCTGTGATAAGCGTTGGAATTTGGGTGATGCAGCGGGCCTACACGCTGTTAGATGAGGGGGGGGGGGGGGGGGGTGCGGGTGAGTAAGACTGGCAAAGCTCCAGGCCAGTCTCCACCGGCTGGGGGGGAGCCCACGACTTCCCGCACGACGTGATCGCTGGGCGCCCTCCTGGCCGAGGCCAGCTGTGGCTGCGCCGAACACCGGTGACAGGTGTCTGTGCCATTCGTGGCACGTCCTCCCCGGCCAGGTGGGAAGAGGAGAAGAGCGAGCAGCTGGAGCTCTTCTGCACGATATTCAACCAGGGCGAGTTCAAGGCGGAGGAGCAGGAGAGCGCGCTGCCGAGCTCAACGACCAGGTGACGGCCGTGTACACGGCCATCATCGGCGAGAACCAAGCCAACATCAGCACGCTGCAGATGCTCGCCTCGCTCGAGAGCCACATCGAGGATATGTTCGAGTACATGGAGACAGTGCCGCCTGAGCGACTGCACGCCGCTGAAAAGGTCGGTAGGCTGACGGGTGGACGGGAGCGGCCGCCTCACGGCGCTATGCGGAGCGGCAAACGACAGTCGCGCCCGCGCCCGCACGTGCAGCCCAGCCGGCTGGACTGTCAGTCACTGCAGCGAGCACGCACAGGGTTGACCGCAGTGCAGCTCTCGGTTTTGGCTGGCTGTCACGTGTCGCATGCGCGTAAGCACTGGATAATGACGAGACACCGCTACCGCGACACCAGACAGCGGCGTCGCGACCCTCGCTTATAGCGGATGCATGCTCGCCCAGTGGCTGCCGGTTTGCGTTGCGACTTCGGTGTAGCTGGGCTCAGTTAGCGTGTAACAGAACGGTGCGATATTTGCCGGCACCTTCGCGGTGGGGTCAGAGCGTGCGCAACCTCCGCTCAGGACGTATCCAGTATGATCACTGCCCACCCCATACACCCGTACTGCCACACGCGAGCGCTCGCACCTCTCGCCGCGTCCAGCGCATACTCGTCCCGCGCGGCCCGCGTCTCACTGCGTCCACACGCGCTCGGCAGCTGCGTGACCGCGAGCGGCGGCTGAAGCTGCGCGAGCTGAAGATCCGTCAGCAGCAGGCGGCGCAGGCGGACCGGCTGCGGCGCACGCGACTGCGCGCCATGGCCGAGGTGGTGAAGCACACCGGCCGACCGCTCGTGTTCCGCTCGCGGCCGCCGACGCCGCAGCGGCTGCAGCGCAAGACGCAGCGCGAGACGGAGGAGGAGCTCGAGGAGTACAACTACTTCTTCGGCGAGTGACGGCCCGAGCGCAGGCCGCCAGACTGTGATCAGTGCAAGCAAATTGTCCAGTTCGTCCCGTGGCAAATACACGTCTTGTTTCGTATGGGGTGTGCGTGCGTCTGTCACAGGAAGACGGAGCTGAAGAGGTGGCGGTCTCGTCTTCGGACCACAACCTCACTGTCCGAGAGCTCCTACAGGACAATGCTGATGCGCGCCCTTATTTTCCAAAGAAACTCCAGGACAAAAGCGCCTGTCGAAATGATAATAATGTATTGTGATCACGCGATGCGAGCTATACGGGGGCGAAGGGGCTTTAGAACTTGTCGACAAGCTGCAGTATCCGCTGCTGCTCCGCCTGCCTCTCCTCCGAGTCGTCCCCTTCGCCGAGGTTGCCGGCGTACTCTGTAAACAGAGCGGCGACAAGGCTGTTACCGCGGGTCGACGCGGCGCCGTATTCACTGCTGACCAAGGATCAGTTTGCCGCTGAGCACACCACGCTGTGGAGCACGGCATTACACCGATGCACATTGGCGCCACTGTACGTGCGGGCTGCATCAAAGCAAAGGATGCGATCTTCTGGGGATGGATTCGCTGTAACAGCTGACGAGCATCTCCCGTCTGGCTGACACCAAGAGGATCAGTAGGATCTTACGGTGAGGGACGGGCGGGGGGGGGGGGGGGGTGAGGCGATGATCTGGGGGTGCAGATTGGATGCCAGAGGGTAAGATCGGTCACCTGAGCGGTCACGCCGCTGACACCTGAACTAAAAGCACTGCTACCGCTGCCAGGACGGTCAAGGTCATAGCCCTCTGTCCCCTGCTGGCGACGCGCCTGCCCGCCGCGCCTGCCCCCCTCCCCTCCCCCTTACCCCGCATGATGTTCCTGATGGTCTTCACCGAGGCGTTCCTGATGTTCAGCATCTGCATGACGCGCTGCTTGACCTGGGCGGCACCGGCCGCGCACACCTCCAGCACGATGAAGTCCACCAGCTGGAGGGTGAAGAGGCCGCCCTCCAGCCGCCGTCCGTACAGCTCCTCGTCGGTCAGCTCCTGCTCCTGCTCCAGGCCCACGTCCGTGTTGTACACCTGGAGGGGCGGCGGGTCGTCAGCAGCGGCGCCGGCCGCTTCGCGCGCACCGCTGGCGCCGCTTTGGACCAACCGAGCGGGCGTCGTGTCCGAACATCTTCTGTCGCGCTGGTGCCAAGAATGCTAAGTTCACCAGGGCGTGGGAACTGAACTTTCAGCCAAAACGGTATATGAGAGTGGAGTATTTATCTGAGTGAAAAATGTGCACTAAGGCACTGACTTTGTGTGTTAAAAATCGAACTGCAGTGCATACAAAACTAAATGCATTCCATCCATTCCGCCGAGTCCGGCACTTTCGACTGCAAGTAACAACATGAAATGGGTAGTGACAGGCAAATAATTTCAGCAGCGGGCAATGTTCCGCACGCGTAAAATGGGGATACTGTTAGGGCGGGAGAAGCCAGCAAAACACCCTATGAGTGTTATTTAGGGGAGCGCTCCATATTTATACGGGGTTTTGAGCTAAAACAGCCACCTTGAAGACCTTTCGGTGCCGTTCACAACCATGTCCTTCTAAAGCCCTAAGCCCCTCTAGTTTCTGAGCTACACGGCCGCGATAATGGGGAAGGGTATATCTGGGAGAGTATGTCAAAGCCACCTTGGCATTCATGACGTCATAATAACGCCATTCAAATCCTGCTATTTCATGAGCCATGTGACGATCAAAGCCAATACAAATATAATTGTCGAGATGTTCAGATCTGCCGTTCGTGAGCGCGATTACATATATAACGGCCATCAATTGGCTCTCAATCAATGTTGTGCAAGGTACGGTGATGTAATCAAACCACGACGCATCGAGGACCATATATACTAAACAAAACTGCGCTGTCTAGAGCAGTCTTTTCAAAGTACAAATTATACCAATAGTTTTAAGTGAGCTTATTTCATCATCTCTGATGCCTGCTTCAATACCATCAACAATACCAATGCTTCAATACCATGACACAAATGTACGCCCAGTGTACACTTGGCGGCATGCCAAACAACCCAAACACTAAAGACGGAGAGCTTCTTTGCACCAACATACGTCTGGAAACTACGTTCACCATGGCGTATTAGCGACGGCACATGGATTTGGCATGACATGACATGGACGACACAGTGGCTAGGCTGCGCGCTGGGAAAACAAGGACGGAGGATTTGTTCCCCACGGTGGCCGTGCATCCTGGCAGAGGTGAGGCGGCCGGCGTCACATGACTTCAGCTGCTGGGTGGGTCGTGAAACACCCCCAATGACTGGCAAGCGGCAGGGGATGCGACAGCTTAAAACCGTTAGTTTTTTCAGGCGAACCGCAGCTGAACGCGACACTACGAGGGCCACGCACCGGCACAGGCCGCGTCTGACGGCAACTCAGCGCCCACCGGTGGCGTGTTGCCAACGACCAACGGCGCCGGTGACCGGTCTGGCACCACTGGTCCCGGCGCCGGTGACCGGTCTGGCACCATTGATCCTGGCGCCGGTGACCGGTCCTGGCGCCGGTGACCAGTCCTGGCCACAGTGACCAGTCCTGGCCACAGTGACCGATCCTGGCGGGCGGGCTCTTCATACCTTGTCCAGATACTTGAAGTGCAGCTCCATGAGCCGGTCCACCTTCTCACAGTCGTTCTCCGTGAACTTGGTGATGATGCGCTGGCGCACCTGGCCCCGACAGTGACGCAGCAGGCCACACAGGATCGACACCACGTGCTCTGGGGAACACCGTAGTCACGGGAGCTCAGCCTGCCGCCGGCCAGGCGCGCCGCCGCAGCAGGCCACACGGGATCGACACCACGTGCTCTGGGGAACACCGTAGTCACGGGAGCTCAGCCTGCCGCTGGCCAGGCGCACCGCCGCAGCAGGCCACACAGGATCGACACCACGTGCTCTGGGGAACACCGTAGCCACGGGAGCTCAGCCTGCCGCTGGCCAGGCGCGCCGCCGCAGCAGGCCACACGGGATCGACACCACGTGCTCTGGGGAACACCGTAGTCACGGGAGCTCAGCCTGCCGCCGGCCAGGCGCGCCGCCGCAGCAGGCCACACACGTGCTCTGAACTCAAGCGAGGTGGGTACAACAGTTTAGAATGGCTGGCGGGTGAGTATGGGCAATGCCTCATGAGTGGCCCGTGGATGGTGCGAAGGAAATCTTACCCCCCCCCCCCCCCCCCCCCCACCGTCTCAATCGTGAACTAAGCCGTCGAGCAACGGTGTCGATGCCGATGTTGTCATGCCACAGGTTATGCCCACAGTTTAAGCCACCCGCCATGAAAAATGTGAACGAAACGGACTGCTTAGTTTTGTTACGCAGTGCTTGCATCGCATTTTTCGGGGAAGGGACGTGGTAACTATAGACGTTGATGAAAACGGTTTTCATGAATGAATGGCAAGGCAGTTCATAATTTGAATGGTGACTGTCACCGCCCTGACCTGACAATTGCTGTCTTTCCAGCGTTCACCAGTGATGTGGTGCTCTGTCCGTTCATCTCCGCCGCCCACGCACCACCAGATGACACCCACCACATCGCCCCTAGCTCTCCCCCCCCCCCCCTAAACGGACGTCGACCAGGTCCTCTCACGCTTGTGCTGTTCCGCGATCCCCTGCATCAGGTCACCCCCGCCGGTCCTGACCCTCGCGCCCCTCCATCGTCCCCCGGAATCGGATGGGCGTGCATGCCACCCCCGCCGGAGCTGACCCTCGCGCTCCTCCATCGTCCCCCGGAATCGGATGGGCGTGCATGCCACCCCCGCCGGTCCTGACCCCCGCGCTCCTCCATCGTCCCCCGGAATCGGATGGGCGTGCATGCCAGCCCCGCTGGTCCTGACCCCCGCGCTCCTCCACCCTCCCCCGGAATCGGATGGGCGTGCATGCCAGCCCCGCTGGTCCTGACCCTCGCGCTCCTCCACCCTCCCCCGGAATCGGATGGGCGTGCATGTCAGCCCCGCTGGTCCTGACCCTCACGCTCCTCCACCGTCCCCCGGCATGGGATGGACGTGTCTGCCAGAAGCGCCGGTGCTGACCCTCGCGCTCCTCCACCGTCCCCCGGAATCGGATGGGCGTCCGCCAGCCTCGCCATACCCACCCTCGTGCTCCTCCACGCTGAGGCCGCGCCGCCGGTGCTTGCGCGGCGTATGCATGAAGAGCGGGAAGAGCGTGCGCAAACCGAGGATCTCCACCAGCTTGTTGCAGTTGTCTGCGCCCGCCGGACCTGACGTGGCGTAGTTGAGCACCTTCAGCGCGCCGTTCCGCGACAGCTTCTTCTCCCTGCAGAATGGCACGCGGAGGAAGGTACTCGGTCAGTCGGGACTAGGACTCAGTCGGCGACAGACGCGGCATGACAACGCTGTAGGGAACATATGACGAGTAAATACCTTGAAAGCACAAAAATGTTAATATTAAACGTGAGTCGAATCGCAGACGCCCAACCAAACGGTAGAGTCGTCCTCGACCCATTCCGCTGCCTTCCCGTAGCCGTGGAAAGTTACCGGGCCCCTTGGTTTTCCTGGTTTTCAGCTTACCTAAGAAAACACTATGAGTGTGAGAATATATGACAGTTTCGGGAAGAGCAAAACTCTCTACTAAGCTGCCGAACAGCATGGAAGTTTCCAGAGATCGGCACTAGGTCCACTTCTCTACTGCATCTTCGTGAATGATCTAAGCCTCTTCGCAGAGGGTGCGGTGTTGTTCAACATGCGGACGACACCCAAATTCTAGAGAGCGGCAAAAAACGACACTTCCAAAATGTCGCCGCGCCTATAAAACACGTCCTAGCCTCTCTCGATGTTTGGTTTCGCGCGGAAAGTCTCAAAGTAAATGTGAGAACACATAGCTAATGTCGTTTGAAGGCCCACGAAATCTGCGCAGCCCCCAAAATTAACTGTAAACTTTCGTGAGCGAAAATTATGCCCTGTTCGGAGATAAAAAGTCTAGGTCTGGTATTTGACCAGTCTCTCAGCTGGAATTCCTACGTTCCTTTCGACACTAGCCGCTGCTTTGGTACTCTCCCTGGTCTATCACGTC